GGAAGGAAGAAAGAAAAAGTAAAACTTAGAAAAAGAATGATACTATCCATTGAACTCAAATAGTATAATAAGATCTGAGTACATTACAAAGTCCAGATTATACTATTTCACTTAAAATGAGTGGTTTCTGTTGTGTCATATCTAGGAGGAACATGTTCTTTTCCAACTTGAAGAGGGAATTGAGGCACTGGAAGCTGCAATTGAATACAAGACTGAGAGTATCCAGCATCGCCAGAACCTGCTTAGAGCATCATCCCAAAATCTCTCTCAGAGTGAAGCGAACATCTTGGAAAAACTGATTTGCCTGAATCCCATTGAGATTAGAGCTATTCTTTTCAGATATTTCAACAAGGTTTGTGTTTTAGGGGCAGTGTTTGATTATAAAGAGGAATCAAGGTGCTCCCCATATTTATGTTGAATCTTGAAAGAAATTAAAAGGCTCAAGGATTTGACAGCAGAACTACAGCATGAACCATGATTTCTCCTTCTAGTACTGAATGTTGTCATCTGAAAGCTCTGATTATCCAAACGTGTTGGCCTAACTTGGTGAGGTGCTTAAAATTGGAGGGCATCGCGGTAGGCCTTTTTGCAATAGTCTTAAAAACCAGACTTTGAATTGTTTTCCTTCTTTAGTATTTCTTAGTTCTAGATTTAGACGTTTCTAAGCATCATTCATGAAAAGTCAGGTGGCCCTCCAAGTTTGACTCCTTTTCCTTCTTTGCTACAGGGTCAGGTAAACCTGTTCCTTCTCATGAAGTGAATTGAAATGGAGATGAGGTGGTACACGCTGGCAATGAGACTCATAGGTTTTACTAACCTAAATGTGCTTAAATCAATTAAAATATTTTACGTTATATGCATTTAACAATTTACTGATCCAGAGATTTTTTTTTCCAGAGATGTTTTATAGCACTGAGAACTGTATCCATTTTTTCTTTACCTTTTTTTCCCTTAAGATTATATATTATGAAGTGTCAAATAATTGGTTCTTTTTTGTGAAAAGTATATATAAATTATAGGGCTAGCAGACATTCAAGGAAAGACATTGAAGTTTTTTAAGAAGTCCTGATTGTGTAAAACAAAATGTTGTAGACTGCCTCCTCTTACAGAATCGCTGAAGTAGTAAGCTGCAGTTGCTGAGGAGTGCGCATCCCACTGCTGTGTGCGCAGAGGGCAGAGAAATGGTGGAGTGCCTGCCTAGGTTTAGATGCAGACCTTGAAGTACACTTACAGCAAGGGTTCTTACCCCCAGGGGCCTAGGCAAGCTTGAGGGACTTCCTAATCCTCAGAAACCTTTATAGAGTAAGTTCTGATCTGGAGAGGTCATTAGATTATTAACAAGGTCTAGGTGTAGACAGTGTGCTGAAGTGTATTTACTTAATAATTTATTAGCAGCAGAGAAGAACCCAATGGCCAAAAGGTAGGACCTGAAACTGAACCTCTGTGCTTGCTTATCCATTTTGGCTTCAAAGCAGGGAATTATCTAGCTGTTGCAAGAGTCCTTAGCATCTCAATATCCACACAGACTACAGGAACAGTTACAGAATTATAAAACGTAAATTACAGAGATCATATCTAACAATTCTTGAAGGGGTGATTATCAGACTAACATTGTATTGAAAAAAAAAGTGTTACCAATTCAGAATTCCAGCAAATTAAAAAGCTGTTAGGTTACTTTGTTAGTACATTATAAAGCCTTTGCCAGAGGACCTTTTTAAGGAAATACATCTTTATGTGGCCCAGGAAAAGTAAATTAACTTATTGTGTTAGGTTAAGGCGCACTTAAAGGGTCAAAAATGTCTTTGCTAGGTGGTTAATTTACGAGAAGTTGAACGGAAACAACAGTTACAAAATGAAGAAATTAAAATGAAAGTTCTCGAACGGGATAATGTGATTTGTGAGTTGGAATCTGCACTGGAACATCTGAAGTTACAGTGTGATCGGAGACTGACTCTCCAGCAAAAGGAACACGAGCAGAAGATGCAGTTGCTGTTACATCATTTCAAAGGTGACTGCCACTTTTTGTCAGTTAGTAAGGTGATAGGGGGGTATCAAGGAAGGCAGGTGAACAAATTGATCAAGGAAAGAAGGTGAACAGAAATTAAAAGCCTGACATGTATAAATAATCGCCGCTTTTGTAAGTTCTTGGCCTTTGCATAGTTTGGAGACCATGTTTTGGGTTAGTTGACGTTGATGTAAGTTTCATGCTTGAGAACCTCCCTCTGCCTGCCCCCAGCATGCACACACACACAACACACACACACACATACACACACACAAGAACTGCTGCAACCTGTTATTCTGTGGTTAGTCTAGTTTTTATGTGGAAATGTGGGATTCTAGATTTCTGATGTACATTGAAAATTTTCTCAGTAATATAGTACTATAATAGTTAAATTATTTTCCATCATATTCCTAATATATTTCTTGTTATACTTTTCAGTTAATTGTAACATTTTATGCATTAAGATAAAAGATTAGGTCAAAATTAGTTTACCACTCATGGGCACACACTGTGGTTGGGGAGCAGCAGTTCAGCCATTCACACTGATACAGAGAGCACTCTCTCAACAGTTGAGCTTCACATTACCTGGGCATACGGCCAGGATCGACCCGAGCAGCTGCTATGGCAACCAAATCACGACCAGGTGGTACTGGGACTGCTGCAGTGCAGGCTTCTTAGTCTTAATGCTCACGAATCCAGAGCTGAAAATGAATGCTAGAAGAAGCATTCGAAGAGAATGCTTAAAGAGCATTAGAAAGAGAACTGCATTCTTCAACTGTTAAAAAATAAGAGTAAGTTAAGGAGTTTATACTGGCGATCTATGATCAGTGCTAGAAATAAAAAGAGTGACTCTGCGGGCACTGTTTACATTCCAGGTGATAACTACACTGCTTCTTCTAATGCTAGAAGCAGCACCCTGAGAAAGCAAAAAATTGAGAAATGTATGAAATTTCAGTGTCAAGGCAAGTTGCCTCTAAGTTACTTCTAAGTGCCGATTAACCATCAGTTGCCCAGGGACAGGATTTCCATGGGAGGCTCCCATATATCACTCACTCCATTCAAACGCGCTCTCCTTACCATGCCTTAGTCTCTACGAGTGGTATTTAACTACAGTTGTGTGTATTTCTAGGGCAACTGGAATTAAACATCAAAACAGCACCACAGCCAAATGGAACTTTAAAAAAAAATCATTCATTTCGAAAGCTATGCACGTTTTTGTAGCAAGTTGTAATTTAGAATATTAAGAATTTGTGAATGTTTTAAACTGAATGAATATGGTGCGCTGGGGATTGAGCCCAGGGCCTCAGGCATGCTAGCATTCCTGGCCCTACTTTATGTGGATTCTGATTTATGTCATTAATTTTAAGTAATTTTCAAAGTAACATGATGAATTAAACCATGCGAATATCCTTAAAATTTTATGAAACATTTGAGCATAATAAAAAATTACAAACCAGTAGAACCATTTTATAAGTATGTCAGTAAGAGAGAATGGGTCCAAAAGTATCCATTTGATTGAGGTCAGTCTGCTGGATTTTACTGTTCTAGAGCAGTGTTTGCCATTCATGAGTATTAAGTAGAGCCTCTACGTTGTATTATGGCATAAAGTGTAACTTATGCTGGCTATCTCCTTCTTATTTGTCTGTGGTGGGGTTTTTTTGAGTTAACTTTTAAATCAATTTTTAGTCTCACAATTTTTTTTTTGGAGGAGTGGCTGTATATTTTTGGGTCTGTAATTCCCAGGCTTACTGACTTTCCATATAATCACAGTTCTTGATAGGAACTTTCAGTAAGGTATTAATAACAGATGATGGAGGGTTTTTTTGTTTGGTTTGGTTGTTTTTGTTTTTGTCTTTTTGAGACAGGGTTTCACTATGCAGTTCTGGCTGGCCTAGAACTCACTTTATAGCTCAGGCTGGCCTCCAACTTGCAGGCATCCTCTTGCCTCAGCCTCCTGAGTACTAGGATTACAGGCGTGCACTACCACGCCCGGTAGTGGATGGAGTTTCAAACATAGGAACTTTTTGTAGGAAACACAACTTCTGCTGTTCTAAAATCTTGTTAGTAGAAACTGCAGAAAAAGTTTATGAGTCATGAGCATGTGGTGGTTGATGGGGGTAGGGTAGAGAAGGTAACTAAGGGTACAACCTTTTGAAATATTTTACAGGCAAAAGAATCCAAATTGTAGCTGAAAACAAATCCATTCAGATAACAGATAGGTGGAACTGACCCTTGAAAGATAGTCTGGGGCTATGTTAAAACATAATTTTAAACCATTTATTTAAAACAAAATTTAAATGTAAATTTTTGCTTTACAGAGCAAGATGGAGAAGGCATTGTAGAATCTTTAAAAATATATGAAGATAAAATCCAGCACTTGGAAAAAGACCTTTATTTCTATAAGAAAAACAGCAGGGATCTTAAGAAGAAACTTAAAGAAGTGGCACAGGAAGCAGTTCAGTGGCAACCAGCAGTGTCGGAACGGAAGGCTTTCCCTCTCACCAGTGACGAGAACACTGTTTCTGTGGGATTTGGTAAGGCCGTGACTGATTTATAGTGTAGTGTGTTGATACCAAGTGACTGGGTTCATTAGAATGAGACAGTTAACTTGTGTTTGTCTCTACAGACAAAAATAAGTGTTTTTTTGTATAACTTAGAGCCCCATGAAAAGTGAGTAAGTAAATGTGTGTGTGTGTGTGTGTGTGTGTGTGTGTGTGT